GATGACAATATAATCACTTCCTTCAGTAGCCCAAATAACGACTTTAAGATCACTCAGTACTAAAAACTAGACACGTGTTTCAGAGAATACTGTTCCTTTCCATCGCATAGATGATGTGTTCAAGACAAAACTCACACAACCACCAATTTTATTCAGGATATGATCTGACATTACAGCCAACCCAATGTAGTGGTAAGGTTTCTACTGAAAGAGAGACTTTTGTCCTCCATGCAGTCATGACATCTACACTGCAAGTTCCCTGCACACACAAAAAAAGCAGAACCTCTCTGCTGGATCACCCAGATGCAGCCACACCATCTCACCGGAGCTTCCACAAGGGAAAAAACAAATAGAGACTTGTGGTTTTGAAGAGTCAGCTAGAAGGTGGAAGAAAAGATCAACCTTTTGGCAGCAACTCATTATTAGATCAGATTATCTGTAGCACTAAATTACACCCTCAGGAGCTCAACCAGGAACTGTGTGGTGCTAGTTCTTTTTTATTGTACTACTTTATCAGTAAATCTTATCTCCATGAAAATTAATGGGAACCTGGCAATCAATTTAAGTCAGACACTTTTGTATACTAGTGGCATGCAAGTAACAAATGATGCAGACATGTAGGTGGTTAGGTTTAAAAAATAAAATAAAGCTCCAGGTACTGATTATTATACTGAGAGGTAACATTCACTCTCTCTAAATTAAAAGCTCATATACAAAAGCATGTACATCCGTGAACCATCAGCTTTTCAGAGGATTCTATGTACAGCAGGAGTATACCGATATTCTTGATCTCATGAGGCAAGTGCCAGGAGCTTCTCACAGCAAATGAGTCAAGTTAAATAAATGTACTTCAGACAGCTCATTTTGAGAAGGAACTTAAGGACAGACAGGAGATGGCAATGCCTCCCTAAGGACTTGTTACAGAATCACAGAATGTTAGGGATTGAAAGACATCAGTGGAGATCAAGTCCAACCCCCCTGCCAAAGTAGGACCAAATCCATGTACTCAGAAATGCATCCAGACAGGTCTTGAAATTCTCCAGAGAAGGAGACTGCAAAATGTCTCTGGGAAGCTTGTTCCAGGGCTCTGAAACCCTTACAGTGAAGAACTTCTTCCTCATGTTGAGGTGGAACTTCCAATTCTCTAGCTTGAATCTATCGCCCCTTGTCCTATCACAGGGCACAAGTGAAAAAAGGTTGTCCCTGCCTTCCTGATGCCCAGCCCTCATATATTTATACACGTTAATTAGATCCTCCCTCAGTCTTCTCCTCTCCAGACTAGAAAGCCCCAGGTCTCTCAGCCTTTCCTCATAAAACAGAGGTGTTCCAGTCCCTTAATCATCCTCGTAGCCCTTCACTGGACTCTCTCAAGTAAATCCCTGTCCTTCTTGAACTGGGGAGCCTAAAACTGGACACAATGCTCTAGGTGAGGTCACACTAGGGCAGAGTAGAGGGGGAGGAGAACCTCCCTCGATCTGGTGGACACAATCTTCTTAATGCATCCCAGGATACCACTGGCCTTCTTGGCCATAAGGGCACATTGTTGTCCCATGGATAACATCTTGTCCACCAGGACCCCAAGGACCTTCTCCACTGGGATGCTTTTCAACAGATTGCCTCCTAACCTGTACTGGTGCATGCTGTTATTCCTTCCCAGATGAAGGAATCTGCACTTGCCCTTGTTGAATCTCATTAGGTTCCTCTCTGCCCAGTCTGTCCAAATCTCGCTGAACAGCTGAAGAGCCTTCAGGTGAATCAGCCAATCCTCCCAATTTCGTATCATCAGCAAACTTGCTGAGAAGACACTCTGTCCCATCATCAAGGTCATTGATAAAGACGATGAACAGGACTGGACCCAGTACTTATCCTTGAGGGACTCCACTAGCTACAGCCCTCCAGCTGAGCTCTGCACCATTGATCACTACCTTCTGGGCTCTATAGTTTAGCCAGTTCTTAATCTAGCTCACTGTCCATTTTTCTATCCCACATTTCCTGAGTTTGTTAGTCCATTGTTCGAGTGAAATAGCCTGGGTAAGCAGCTAGGGCCCACACCATCTCAAAATTGAGGCTTCCACAGCCCCTGTGATTTCAACTCTACCCATGGCTAAGCACACTTATGGTCTAGAAGCACTTGTAGTGGATGGACCTACAAGATAAAGGATGTAGCCATGGCCTAAGAGCTCCACTTCAAATGTAGGCTGAGGATTACTAATCGGCCCTTACATGAAGTTTTAGCTTTTATTATTGTCCACAGTTGAATATAGTTATGGTACCATTTCTCTCCTGTGGTTCAAAGTTAACCATGAAAGAGTTTTTCTTTTTCAACTAAGCAATTCTATTACCTGATCTCATAATTAATTTTTTCAGGTATTTATTTCAATAATAAATCATTAATTTACTATAACCAAACTGGGAAGAAACTGCAATGTTTAAATTTAATAATGCATATTAATCCCATAAAATATAGAAATTTGATCTTATATTCTCAAGCTAACAGCACATATAAACTTTATCAGTGAATATTGCTCTTAAAAAAACCCTAGGAACACAGAGGACAAACATTTCAACTGCATGGCATAAAATCAATTGTAAGTATATTCTTATATACATATATATATACATGAGGACTGAAGCTTGTAATATTTTAAAATTCATAGTGGTACTTAAATTTTTGTGCTAATGCTTAGCAAGTTTTATATATAATTGATCATATAAGTAAAGTAAAACTAAATAAAACTCAATGTTTATATGCATAAGCTAAGCAGGTTTTTTCTTTTTTTTTTCCTTTTTTTTTTAAATAGCTCAGTTTTGCTGCTAGATGGAGTGTTTTTCTCTCATTATTAAAGCCTCTGCTATATCTTCTAGATGAAAGAAAGCTGATCTACTTATAGATCAACAGAAGGCATGTGAAAAAGGCTTGCTAACAATACTTTTCCATGTAAGTGAGAGCAATTGGAATCCCATCTGGAAAAGCACACTACTCCGATATAGAAAACTCTCGCCACTGGCAAAATTTATGATATTAATTTGTAACGGTGGATTTAGGGAAATGTACTAAACTAATGCTTATTTACTTGCACAATTATGTGTTTTCTACATAAAATGACAGGCTTTTACCTTGCCAATACTGGAAGACAGGACAAGGTGGGTGTACAAGTATGCCAGCACTGATGAATGTCAAGCTAAGTTAAAGATTTGTTTCTTGCATTAACATCTGTACAATACACCATCTAACGCATTACACTTTAGACTCTTAAATCTGTTATTTTAAATATTTTCATTGCACTTCAGCTTTGATCATTAATCTAAGAGGCAAAAAGTTAACCTGTATCTTATCTTCTTTGCCACTTGATATGTTAAACAGCCTCCATACCTTAAATCCACTTTAATAAGGCATGCAATTATTAAAGCATTACAAAATGGCCCCAGAGCACACAAGCTCCATTAATTTTGCTTACATCTAATTATGTCTGCCTGAGGCAGGTGAGAAATTGACTCTGATAAGATCTTTCTTTTACCTGTAGCCAAAAAAAATAAAAAGGAAAAAAAAAAAATCTCAGAGAGGTTTTCTATCTAATTGCTATCTACAAATATTTATGGTATTTGCTCCTTCAATGAATAGCACACAGAGCTCTCTTTGTGCACTAACTAGTGCATTTTGTTTTTTTAAGACTGTAGAATACAAAAGACAAGCTTATCTTGCATCAGGCCTAAGACAGGTCATCAGTGATGGCTACTTGTGAAATAGTTTTACCTATTATTTAAATAATGTATTTTATTTGAAGAGTAATTTTGATGTGAAAAAGCATGTTACATATTCTTTGTTGGCTTTTATTTTTTCTTCATGTCAGCATAAGGAATTAAAGCATTCTATTTTATGGAAAACTGACAAGTACTTTACATGTACAAAGGGGCTTTTTTCCAATTTTAAAAAAAGAAGTGCTCTATAGCATACAGAAAATTCAGGAAAACACTATTAAATTACATTGTTTGTTACCTGCAAGTGAATGAGAGTATGAACATGGTATTTCTAATCATTCTAATCCCACTAGCAGCCCTGGAGATTATAGAGAGCAATAGTAATAATGTAAAACTAGTTAGAAACTATACCAGCTGAAGAGGAACAAATAAATAATTTTAAAAAGGAATTAACTAAAACAAAAAGCCATGGAATTAATCCAATCTAAAGGGATTATAATTCAATACTTGGCTAATATTTCAGGAGAAATTACTTTGTTATAAAGCATTCTTTAAGGAAGACAGACATTTAATGTGAAAGTTGCCCAGATAAACTAGCCATCAGACTAACTGCAAGGTTATTCACACCATTTTTGAAATGTACATCTTTAGCCACAGTCTTGTCTTATACTGGCCATTATCTTTCATATTGATTAGCTTCATTATACAATCTCATTTTACATATTTGACAAAGAAAATATGTTGATTTTCTGGTATACTAAAACACTAGATAGTAAATACCATTCTTTTGAAGGCAATGAGGAACTATCTGTTTGCTACATGTTTTACAAACTCAAAGACAGTTGTTACACAAAATGTTTTGGCCTCATGTAATTACATCTTGTTTGATGTTAATTTGTCGTATTTCCATTAAAACTTCCACGGTTGTTTTATAATATTGTCTAGCCACCAGTCTGCATCATCTATAAATGACAATACTGTGAACCACTGAATTATGCATGCATCTTTACTGAAAATCAAAAACAAACTAGAGTAAAAAAATTACAAAATAAATGTAATGACAATGATAGTAAGAATTATTTTCCAGCTTTTCCACGCTTCTTCTAAGAAAGAATTGCATACAGATAAATTAAATATTCAGACATCTTGACTGTTACTCAGTCATATAATTTTTAATAATTTTTTTCATATTAACATTTCTTATCCTAAAATATAGAATATTTTTTGTTTTCTCTGTTATGTTGTGGATTTGTCCATGGGAAGTTTCAGTAGACAATATTACTCAAAATCTGAACACTTACCAAAAGCTGCCACTTTTATGATTATGGCTTGAACGTTAGATGATATAATTTCTTTAAGCAATATTTCCTGGTTCCTACGCCAAAGGTAAGCTAAAGGCTGAAGATTAAGCCTTCTGCATCTTAAAAACAAACAAAAAAATGCATAAAGCCAAGCATTATGCTTTCAGACAGCATGAATCACATAAAATTAAAGGTAATTAGTTTCTCTCATATCCTAGCTTTAAATTTGCATAGGAACATAAGTAAAACCATGAGAAAACGCATTCCTAAACCTTCAAGGATGCAAAGCAATCAATACCTTAGGGAGTGATGACTTTTTATGAGTTTAGCTAAGGCAGGAGTTACAACTCTATGACAAATGTGGGACATGTCACTGGTACAATATGCTGAATTTGTTAAATTCCAGAAACCTGAGATTTGGATCAACACCCAAAGAAAGGAATCATTCAGGAAAATGTATACAGCTTGTCTTACAAAAGAACAACTTGTAAATGCAATTATTTCTTTTGATACATATTTCAACAGCATTCAATACACAGCATTTGATTGTTGATCAAATTAGAGAATCACTAATTAGCACGATTGATGGGTAACCCTTCTGCAAATTGTCAAGTACCATCAGCTGGTGCTTAAATGTGTAATGCCTAGTTCCTGAAAAACTTTAAAACATTTAAACACGGGACTAGCTCAGAGCATTCAAAAATTACATTTATTTGTCAATTATCATTGTTTACCTAATGAACGGGCTTTCTCTCATATATTGGCTTTCTCCCATGTGTTAAAACAGACCCACTAGTATTAGTATCAAGACTTTGCAGTTAAATGGAATTTCAGTGTTGACAACTAAATCCATAGTTAGCACCCATGTAATTCAATTGTTTTTGTTATTACTTTCTTAAATTTTAACAGAGCACTAAGTTGTGAAATTAACAGAAGTATTTACCAACTCTGAATGCAAAATGGTTCATTTAGATGCCTAACTTTAGCTAACAAAATAGCTGAATCCAAGCAAACTGGATGGTTTATGTGAAACAGCTTCATTGCAAGGGGTAAATCTACAGATCAATGTACATTTTTTTTTTTTTACCACTGAGCAACTTTGGAATTAATCATGTTTGTGTAAAATATGGTGACGTCCTGTCAATCTTTTGGCTGGGGTAAAAGATCTGAAACCCACAACCAACAAAGGCAATCTTTTCTAAAATATCTAGTAACATAATTAGGCAGGTATTAAAATGTTTAAAGTGTAAGGGGAAAAAAAAAAAAAAAGCTATTTCTGACTGCAATTTAACTATGTAAGGTGTAAAGAAAACACCCATGCTGTATAACTTGTTGATGTGCATCAAGTTGGCACAGTATTAACATCACCGTTCTTACAGTTCATAAAGTATTCCAGGTATTTGCTTTTATCATCAACAAATAACTAATGAACTAACGAAATTCTAATTAATTTTTAACACAAGGTGGTTTTGCATTTCATCAGACATATATGGTGAATACTTTTTTCCAGACCTCAATCATCTTGGTCTACATAACACACACGACTCTCATTATATAATCTTTTTTTAAATTAAGACTCTTAGAAGTATCACAGTCTATCTAGACTTAAAAAGTGCACAGTAGAAATGACAAATCAAATCTCCTGCTTCATGATAACAGATCTTAGATCTTAAGAAAGTAAGGGTATATATGCACAAAAAGATTTTCCGGTATTTAATTCCTGATAACAAGTCGTGGGATGCTCCTCTGTATTAAAGCTCTGCTGAAAAATAAAATACCTGACCACAGCACTGAAGCCACTGGAACTGAGTAAGCTTTCTGTTGAAATTAAAATCCTTAATCTAGTCAATTATTTTGATATCAAAACTCTAAAGTATTTTCAACAGATCCATGGGAAAGATCTGAAGAGCAATCAAAAAATGAGTATGCTCTCTACTGAACTTTTACTGATGAACATGATTCTAAGGAGGGAAAAAAAAAAAAAAAAGGAAAATAATATACTTATTTCAACAGATTGCATTTATTGGGTAACATAAAACATGACAAATATAGCAACTGTCTTCTCCAGAATGTGATCTAGAAAACAAACAAGTAAAGCACTTTACAGAATATGTATATTAATAAAGATAAATATTTTCTTACACATCTTCAACTCGAACTCTCTGGTAGTCAGAAAGAATTGCTCCCACAGATACACCCTCCACTCCTTCTTTGTCCTGAAAAAAAGACATAGAATACTAATGATAGCAGTATATGCTGGCCTAAGCAACAGAGATTCAGTATCTCTACTAGTAGGCTCAATCAAGAATAAATCCCTGTGCCCAGCTCGTGGAACTGAATGGGCAGGAACGCAGATCTTCCATAGAAGAGAGCAGTGCAGCTGACCTACTGTGTGGTTGTTACTCTAGCACAGTAATCTACTCAAGTACCACTCTACAGAAAAAATAACCAGAGTAACTGAAAAGTACTAGATTTAACACCATAACCTAAGTTTTCCTGACATCCTGAAAATGACTTTTGTCTCTTCATTGTAACTAAGGTGTTAGCTATCCTACCTACAAGTAAATATCAGCAACATAAAATCATGATGATCAATTCAACTATCAGCATTTGTCACAATATGCAGCACCAGAGGGTGTGAGATTATTCTTTTTATCCTAACATCAGAAAAAGAAAACTTGTGGGCAACTTACTCAACATCCCCTTTTCAAAATTCTGCTATAAGGTTTTCCATGACATTTTCTCTGTTTCATTTCAATTACCTAAGCCAATAGTACTTGATTTTTTTCCTTGTAAACGCACTGAGAATGTAACATTTGAAAATGCACATACATACAATATTTCATGAGCTCTTGCATTTTTAAGTTGCTTGAGTTCTAATCAACATACTGAATTTATTTTCTTTTCCTAAAATTTGCTCCAGCTAGACTTCAGTTAATGTTGTTTTCCTCTTTTAACAAAGCCTGATCATAACCACACAGCATGATCAACCTTCTGGTTAAACAGCAAACCTGTGAAACAGAAACATACAGAATCACAGAATTATCATGGTTGGAAAGGACCTCTGAGATCACTGAATCCAACCATCAATACACACAAAAAACCCCAAACAAACACAACCAACCACACACACTACACCAAAAAACACCCACAAAAACCCCCTCAACCTTGGCCACTAGAGCATGTCCTGAAGTGTCACACATCTACACATCTACACATTTTTTAATACCTCCAAGTATGGTGACTCAACCACCTCCACAGACCATGCTTTTAGCATATAAATTCTTCCAAATATCCAAACTAAACCTCCTCTGCTGCAACTTCAGACCATTTCCTCTGGTTGTATCATTATTTACTTCAGAGAAGAGGCCAACATCCACCTCCCTAAAACCTCCTTTCTGGTAATTGTAGAGGGCAGTGAGGTCTCCCCTCAGTTTCCTCCAAACTAAACATCCCCAGTTTCCTCAGGCAATCCTTGTATGATTTGTTCTGAAGACCCTTAACCAGCTTGGTAGCTCTCCTCTGGACATACTCCAGCACCTCAATGTCCTTCCTGTAGTGAGGGGCCCAGAAACAAACACAGTAGTCAAGATGCAGCCTCACCAGTGTCAAGTACAGGGGCATGATCACCTCTCCTGCTGGCCACGCTATTCCTGAGGCAGGCCAGGAGGCTGCTGACCTTCTTGGCCACCTGGGCACACTGCTGGCTCATGTTAAGTTGTCTGTCAACCAGCATCCCCAGGTCCTTTTCTCCTGGGCAGCTAGCTCTCCAGCCACCTTCCCCAAGCCTGTAGTATTGTCTGAGGTTGTTGTGACCAAGATGTAGGACCCAGAACATGTCCTTATTGAACCTCATACAACTGGCCTTGGCCAATGGATCCAGCCTGTCGTTTCCTCTGTAAAGCCTTCCTACCCTCAGGCAGATCAACATTGCCGCCCAATTTCCTTTCCAGGGAAGGGGCATCTGCAACTTCTCAGGGCAACCTGCTCCAGTGTCTCCACCTTCACAGTAAAGAATTTGCTCCTAATACCTAATCTAAATCTATCCTCTTTCATCTTAAAACCATCACCTCTCATCCTATCCTACATGCTCTTATAAAAAGCCCCTTCCCAGCTTTCCTGTAGCCCTTTCAGATACTAGAAGGCCACTGCAAGGTCTCCCTGGAGCCTTCTTTTCTCCATGCTGAAAAAACCTAACTCTCTCAGCCTGTTTTCATAGGAGAGGTGCTCCAGCCCTCTGATCACCTTTGTGACCCTCCTCTGGACTCACTCCAACAGCTCCATGTCCTTTTTATGCTGGGGGCTCGAGAATTGGAAACAGTACTCCAGGTGGGGTCTGAATTTTGCAGCATTTTACCACATAACTTGCAATTATACACCTAGATATGCATGTAAAAATCAAAACAGTCTTTGCCATAGTACTGAATTTAATATTAATTTTCACTTTCTTATCAATAAAATTATGTAGAAGATGTTTTACTCAATTATACTGTAAGAAAGAAATCCCTGGTTTATGTCAATCTGGAATAGTCTTTCCTCAGTCTAGTCTTTAACTTGCACCTTATATCTGCCCAACAAAATTCCTGTTGTTCAATTTATGTACTTCTACATGTCATTAATAGATTTATGATTTAATATGCCAAATCATAGAGGATTCAGGTTGATGCTTCTCACATATCCAGAAGTAATAGCACTGATAAAAAATTATTTTAGCTTATCTGTCACTTGTTCATTATTCACTGCCAGTGTTATCATTATCATTACTGTTATCCAGCCAACACTACTTCTGCTTCTCTTTGAGCTTTCCATGCAACAATGTTTCAAAGCTCTTTTCAGATTAAATGTAAATCACATACTTGCCAACTTACTCAACTCATCCATCTAGAATTAAATTTCTTGAGATGTTAACATAGTTATGTAAGCAGTTTTCTTTCAATAAATTTGACAACATGATTCATGATGCCTTTATGGATCCTCAAGTACTTCTAAAATATTTTCCCCATATTCCTTTGTTCCATGCAGTTTTGATAGGCAATTTACCTGTACTGCTACAATTGCACTTAAGTTGCTTTCTTCCAAGTTCTGTTTAGAAACATTATAAAGCTAAGTCACGTAACAGTCTTGAAAAACATGAGAGCTAAGTATTGTTTGTTTGTATTTTTATGTAAAAAGAATAACATAATTCCTACAAAATCTTCTCCATTACAATGTTCAAACATCATCCAATATAACCAGAAACATTAGCCATATTTCTGCTTACATGAACAATTAATCAAAGTTGGTAATCACGAAGTGGTCCATGCACAAATTGTGACAACATGAACCAATATTATTAAACAATCAATACATTAAATATTAGCTGTCCATGTTTCTAAGCCACCACACATCTTTCTCTGAGAAGGAATGAAGCAGCCTATATCCCTTTCTGCTCAATACACACTAATATATTTGTAATGGAATCACAGAATCAGAATGGCTGAGGCTTCTTACTTTTGCAAACAAACTTAGGACTCCTGCTGTGAAGTACATCCAGACTATCAGAGATTAGGAAATATATGGTCAGAAAAGTGAGTGCCTTTACAGGGAGAGAAGTATTCAACTACAGAAAGGAACAGGGGAATGCAAAACCCAAAAAACACTTCAGGAGAGCATTTTCATTTATGTGATCTTAAGGCAGACTGGGGACTCAGGGCCAGTGGCAAGGGAAGAGTAAAGCAAATTTACCCTAAGATCCAGAAAACAACAATAACAGAAATACAACCACAAAGAATTTCTACAATCACTGCTGTAGCCTCCTGCTGTCAGAGAAAGTGAATGTTCAAAGGCTTTTTCATTAGTAATTCTTCATGCAAGGTAGAATAAAAATACAAATGATATACCACGTCCAATACGTCAAGTACTGTGTGATATATATGGGCATACTTACTGGCATTACAGCCACATTAGAAATCTATCAAAAAACAGTAAGTATTTATTACTTCATGGAAAATACTAGGTTCAATGGTCACACTAAAAACAAGCAAAATCTGAGAAAAGGGCAAAACAAAGAATTCAGACCTTCCACTTTTTGAGAGTACCAGAATTACTTTGCTTTCACTAAATTAACAGCAGGTGAATACAGTAGTGTTATATTCTACTAAACAGTGCTGATTCTAATACAATCTTTTTTCAGATTCCATCAATACATAAATTAATTTGTCCTTATGAAGATTCATGTGCAAAAGAAAGTCACTAACTAGATGATTCTATGATAAATGCTTTGAAATGGGAGAACTAGTTAATATACTTACATACTATAAAATGGAATCAATTCAGTCCCCCTTTTCTGTACAGTTCAACAAATAAAGATTGGAGTGGCACAAATTCAAGAAATCAGAAGATTTTCAGGGAAGAAGGATAGAATATGAGGTGGAACAGAAAAAAAATAAAAAAAATAAAAATATATATAGTCTAACCTTTAAAAATTCCTAAACTGGATTACGTTTACATAAAGCCTTGCCAGACAGTGTATCCAGCTCAGCACTTGAAGCACTAAAAGAGTGCTACCTGAAAACTAGTTCTTCCCTGGATTCTCTGTTCGGTACTGAATCAGCTATAGGGCATTTTGAGACAGGATTTTGTTTCATTCAGAGCCAACTGTGGTTAGCAGAGAATTGATGCCAGAATTAATGGTGCCAGGCCTCAGGTACTACATATTTTAATGTAGAATCTGATCAGATTTGATATCGTGAAAACACGTTCACAAAACTGCAGTCTCAGCATGGGTAGAGCAGGCTGACATCTGCAGGCTAAATATCAGGGATCTGCACTCAACTCAAAAGCCAAGGAAGCAAATACAGGAAAATTCTGTGTTAGACAGATAAGATAGATGTTAGGTGCTGTATCATACAAAAAGTAACAGATCAGAAAATGTTCAAGGAAAGTTAATATGGGAGGATGTTTTGTAGGGCTTTATTGTTTTTTTGGGTTTGTTGTTTTTTTTTGGGGGGGGGGCTTGTTTGGTTTTGGATTTTTTTGTACGGTTAATTAAAGAGATTATTTAAACTATACTAATACACTTCTAGTGCAACAGGTTAGCTTAAAGCAAATTAAATTGCTTATCTGAAATATCTGGATAATATAGAAAGCACTTAGCACAGTACACTCTGTCATCAAGGACTACATTACAAATAGGCAACACATGTAAAAACTAATGCTAAACATCTATGTATACAAA